TATTAGTTAAACAGATACAATAAACCATTATCAGCCTTATAAACTGTGTCAAACAGCAGGAAACAAACACAGGAAAATAATTAAAAAGAAAAGCTGCTTCATTTCGATCAGAATATCATTTGAGCATAGCGCTGCTGTGTAAGGAGTAATAGCTGTTTTATTTGGTTCCAATTACAGGTGCACCCCCTGCAGCATTCCAGAGTGTTTGTGTTTTATGGTAGTTTAGGTATATAAAAAAAATAAAAAAGGGTCATGGGAAATCATAAGGACTGCTGGAAAGTTATGTGGAAACCAAGAAATGGTATCTTTAGAACAGAGCAGTGAACCTGCTGGGGGATTTAAACAGAAGTGGCATTCTTACCAGCAGAAATGGCAGTTCCTACAATTCCTTCATAGATATGTTATGGTCAGCAGTGTTTGAATAACATCTAGAGCCAAAATTTTGAGTGACTCAATTGTCATTCACAATTGCCAAACAGGTAGAACGCTGTGGTGTAAGCTACATAAATAGCACTCAGTAGTGATTCATTGCAAAATACTTTAGCTATGAGTGATTAAAGGGCAACTGAAACCAAAACTTTATCTTTAGATTTACATAGAGTGGAGATTAGAACAACTGTCAGCTTTGTATTCCTGTGTCCTAGTTAGGGAGATTCACCCTATTTGTCCTATTGATCGTTTTAGGGGTCACCAGAACAAAATGAAAAATCTTCCAGTTAGGACACTAGTTCTGGTGACCCTGCTGAGCGCCAGGGATTTCCCTCACTTTCTATTGTGGCTATTAGACAGAAAGTGAAGGGAAATTTCCCCTCACTATCCAAAACAAAAACAAGTGTTACTTTAGAGAAGTATCAAGGGAATAAAAAATGATCTCCCGAATACTTAGGGCTGATGTGTGACACTGCAGTTTTGTCCAACTCATGGCCTTCTCCCTGCAGAGAGCAGTGACTCCCCCATCCCACCTCTATCCTCCAGCTCTCATTGGAGAGACATACAGGGAGGGGGTGGGCACAGCTGGCTCTAGAGAGGCAGAGCCATCTGTCAATCAGGTGGCGAGGTTGAGCCTGACAATATTGTCAGGATCTTTCTTGGCTGCAGCACAGCTCTGCACTGTCTGCAAATTGCGGCAAGTAGCCCACTAAATGCTGACTTTCGGTCACAGGAGCACATTAGTAAAGAAAATAAAAAGGTTTGGCTTTAGTTCTCTTAATTAATTGTACATGCTGTTTATGTAGCTGACACCAGAGAGATCCAACTGTTCACCAGTTTGCTTCCAGCTTTTGTTTTTACAAGTGATCCTAAGTTACATTCAGCAATTAAAAGTGTAACTCTACTTTTGTTGAGGATCTGGTTTAGTGTAACCACCTGGTGCACTATAAATGTTCTTATGAGGAAAGTTGCAGTGTCTGCATCCCTTTAGAAGTAGTTAACCCCTAGGCAGTATTTTACCAAAAAGGGGATGCCTAAGGTTTTACTTGTATGTTAGTGCAGACTTCTGGGGAAAACTGTGAGCCAATCACACCGGAATTACATTGATGGGGGCATCTCGTACACCAACAGTGTACAGAACCCCTCCATGTGGCAATATTGCATTGAATTTTTTGGAACCATTTTAGAAGATTACAGTTGCTTCAGGTACAAAAAAATAGAATTATAGGTTATATTATTTTTTTACAAATTAGTTTTTCTTTAAGTAGCATGAACGAGTTACTACAAATTGCCTGTTTAGTTCTAGCTTTAAAAGGGGTGGGGCTTAGCAGGAAGGAGCAGTGCACATCGGAGGCCCTAAACCTTAAAGACTTAGGGCTCATATACACTTTGCCCTCAAGTTGCACTGCAATAACATGTGCATTACTGCAATACACGTTACATGCATTACCACGCCGCTGTGCCATTATTCTCAATCACACAAAGGTAATGCAGCTCAACGCACATGCGTTGCAGCACACCAGAAGGCGAAGTAACACACTGCCGCACATTGAAGTGCACTGCATCAGGAAAAATTTGTTTTTTGTCCAATTTTGTGCATTAACACAACGCACAAAAACAGCAAACATCGGCCTGTGTTCCAAATATTATATATTTTTTTTATTGCTGATAGAACGAAAGAAAGGGAAATATTGAAATAAGGGACATCCAATGTGATGTGTACTTGCACTGTAACCACTATCATATCCAACAGAATAATTATTTTGGAATGTAGGCAGGTTAAATTCTCACTTCCTAACAGAAAAAAGGAGGGTCCACCTAATATAGCCATACATCTTCAAAATACTTGTGGGGGAATTTATCAGAACTGGAGCAGACAGAATCTGGAGCAGTTGTCCATAGTAACCAATCAGCTTCTTTCTTTCATTTTTCAAAGCTCAACAGAACAAAATGAAGATAGAAGCGGATTGGTTGCTATGGGCAAGATGCAGATGGTTGCTCCGAAGGCTTTAGATTTCTACTTATTTTCTCATCATATGTACGTCAGATATAACAATAACGAGATCACCATCAGCAATACAGTCCAATTTTTATTTACTTTTAATAAAAAGGTTAGGTTGAAAAAAAACATGAGGGAATAATTCATCAATTTCTAAAGTACAAACAATTTGGAATATTGTAGAATAGTCTTACACACTTGAGCATTATTCAATAAAAAGACCTTATTCCCAGTAATTAGAACTCATTCTACTGACCTCAGATCAGTATACAATGAATTCAGCTTGAATGCTATATGTTGCAGTCTTAAGAAGCAGTACTCCTTATTAAATAAGACTTTTGGTTTGCAAAACAGGCAGCTATATGTACATCTATGTTACTACAATAATATTTACAGTAGTAATACAGTATTAAGATTACTAATTGCAGAATCCTTAGCAAGTGCATTGTGCCATTTATTCTAACTTTGTGTATATAGCTAACAGTTAAGTAAAATATTACAAACATCTGCAAATGTCACTCATCTTTTGTTTATTGTTCCAACCGTATTAAGCAAATCTCAATCTCTTAGCATCATGGTCCATGACTAGGGATGGGAAGAGTTTGGATTAAGTGACAGCAAGCATTATCTGTACATGGTAACCAATATCACTTATATGCAATAGAATTATTATTTCAGAATGTACGGAGGTTATAGTCTACTATATTCTCTTCATTCAACGTGCGGGCTGAACGCAAAAAATATAACAGATTTCTCCATCAATGGTTATGAGGGTTGATTGAGGAATCTCCCGCTGTCAGAATACCCTAACAGAGCCAGCAGCTCATAGGGCAGCCCACTCTGTTCGTTCAAAGATTTTCTGACTGGCTCCTTCGATCCGACAGCGACACCCACTGTGCGAATTTCATCAAGAACTGGCTGAAATTCACACAGTGTATAGCCACCTTAAGAGGAAAAAAAAACCTGAAGCACACCAGCCCCTGTGAGTTCCTGCACGAATCGGTGGCGGAACGCCCTAGATCGCATCCCGGCCGGCTCACTTTGTTTTGGGGCGGGAGGGGGCGTGGCGGTGCATTGAAGTCAATGGCACCGCAGCCACGCCCTCCAGCCGCAATGCGATCGCCCGCACCAGAACGCGTGGCACATTAATGCCTACGTTCCAGTCAGAAAAAAATAGTGCATGTAGCATTTTTTCTGACCGCACCGGAGCGTAGGCATTGATGTGCCACGCGTTCCGCTGCGGGCGATCGCACTGCAGACGGAGGGCGTGACTGCAGTGCCATTGATTTCATTGCACCGCCTCGCCCCCCTCCCGCCCCAAAACAAAGTGAGCCGGCAGGGACGCGATCCAGTGCATTCCGGCAACAAAATCGTGCTGGAACACACTGGGGCTGGTGTGAACTAGCCCTCAAACTATCAGTTGGTTCATTCAGTGCTTTTCAGAAACAATTCTATAAACAGTAAAATCATGTTTATCTCTGCTTTGAACAGTGTACAGAGCTGCTAAACTGTATACCAGATACAAATGTATCAATGTAACAGCCGTAGCACGCAACTGGAATACTTGCAAGATGAATGGAGTTAAAATCTTCAGACAGACACTTATAGCCTAATAGTGAAAAGTAATCTAATAGTAAGCAGTAGGCATGAGTGATTTAGTATGTGCTCATTATGTAGCTGTCTTCCAATCAGGAAGGTGTTAGGCATGTCACAGCCTATACCGATCCCATTTGCTTACCTTTTAGCCATCAGAATCAATAGATAGAGATGGATGAGCTTTACCAATTTGCATGGGTCAGTATGTGGGTTTGAGTTTTTAGATATGGGGAGCAGGGAACTGCTATACATAAATATATCAGGGCCCATTAACACTATTGCGTTGCGGTAACCTACTTGTTGCATGCGTTGGTGTAATGTGGTGCCATTCATTTAAAATGGTACCCCAATGCACTTTGCTGATGGATCCGTATTGCTGTGTAGCGCTTTACAATGTAATGATGTGCATTACAATGCGCTGCCAGAAATGGCACATGCACGATTTTGTTGCATTTTGTTGCGTTGGCAGCCTATTCATTTTGAATAGGCTGCTGTAAAGTAACGCACGTTAGCATACAACATAACACGTATTGACAAGCCTGCATTAATGCAGCACAAAGATATAAATGGGCCCTCAAAATTTAAAGCAAAGCACCACAGTAAACAAATATTTATGCCAACCTTATTTCCATTCTAGAAGCAAAACACAGAAAAACAAGCGCTGCACAAAAACAGTATTTGTTTTAGGTATCAATATATAGTCTGCACAAAATTACAAGGATTAGTATGCGTTTTCATTATAAAAAAATTGTAGTAATATTCCGAAGTGCAAACCTTAAAAACAGCTGACTTAAATGAGGTTTACAAGATGTCAAATACTTTCATTAGTTAGCTGTGTAATACCAATTCATTGCATCTAGTTGCTACATGATAAACCTACTATTCAAGCCGACATTATATTCCAGTCCAATGTATACAAATATTAGTTGTAGAAAAATATATCTAATTGCAACAGGGTCAGCTTTTTTTTTTTTTAACTACAAGTATAACCTAATCAAATAAAATGTGCTTGATAAACTGGAGAAACGCATCATAGAACAGTCTATTGTAATATGGCAAAGGGAAAAACCAAACAGTCTCAGTCCTTAAATTTAGGATGATGTGTAGAAGTATTTGGTCTTGACGTTGCCCAGAAGTTCATCCTCAAAGTTGGGGAGGCAGCAGAAGAAGATTCCACAGCCGAACATGATGATTGTGCTGCCCCAACCAAAGCCATAGGTCCAGCTGTACAGGTAGTTTTCAATCTGCACTGCCAAGTCTGAGGTGTATTTGACAGGGTAGATGACCAGTGCAATAATCTGCAAAACAACTAACAAAAGAAAAACAACAAAAAAGTTATACTTCAGCAATACCTATCTACATATCATTTACTTCAAACATGGGTTACTTTGCATTAAAGTATATCTAAAGAAAACACTTTTTAAAGTGTTGGATGCAGTAAGGAAAGGCTAGAACCCCCATCATGTTTTGACTGAGGTCTGTGTTCCTACTTGTAAGATTCACCGCTATGGTTTATCCACGTGACCACTGTTGCAGAAACCAAAAGTGATGGAACTACAAAATGTAAGTGATGCCACTGGAGTAGAGGGAAACAGAAGGGACACCTGGTTCCGGGATAATGGAGTTCCCCTCATGTTAGAGAAACTTCTTTTAACTTCCTGTTGTGCTCTTTGGAACAGTAAGTGAAGGCAAATTTCCCAAACAGGACAGCAAAATAGAAGTAATAGGAATTTGGATGTTTACTTATAGAAAAGGGGGTTAAAAAGCACAATTCACCTTTGTGACCATGTTTTATGTTAAAGTATTTTAAGGAGTTAACATAAAACATGGTGACATTCACTAAACTCCCCCCTCAGCTTACCTGAATTGTATTTTTTTGTTAATATTTTTACCGATGACATTTATTTATTTTATAATAGGATAGACTACAAGTCTCATCTGCCACAGTGGCAGTGGGACTCGTAGATCTCAATGAAGCACAAGTGCGGTGACGTCGCAACTAGAGGTGCACCGAAATGGAAATTTCAAAACCGAAACAAAATTGAAATTAATAAAAAATTGTCAGGCCGAAACCGAAAGTTTTTTATTTAATTTTTTTAACATTTTTAAATAATATTTTATTTGTATTTATTTTTTATAAACTTTTAATTTGTGTTATATTTTTTATTTATTATAAGCTTTTTATTTATTCATTTTTATTAAATATTTTTATTTTTTACTTTACTTTTAGGGGCTTCGGGGAAATATTAGGGGTCTATACAGACCCCTCATGTTTCCCTTTTAAGTAGAAAAAGAGATTGAAGACACAGAGTCCTCAATCTCTTTTTCTGCAGCCCCTGTTATCAATAAACAGGAATCCTCTATGAGTGTTCATTCATAACTTGAGGACATTGTGTTTATTATAACCACAATTATGAACGACAGGAGGGGATGTAGATCACTTCCCATTCAGTCATAATTGAGTATATAGTCATCATACCGTGTCCTCAATTATGTACAAACACTCAGCGATCACTGATCACACTGAGTGTTTGTACTCGCTCTCCTTCCTGACAGCTGTCACAGGAGGCTGAGCGAGCGGTGTAGGGAGGAGAGCTCAGCCTCCTGTGACAGGCGGCTAAGCGGTGTGGGAGGAGAGACACCGGCCGCTCACAGTGCTATCCTCCCGCAGCGCTCGGCCGGCTGTCACAGTTTCTATGCACTGCACATTTTATTGCAATGTTCTGCAGGCTCCAATGCAAAAAAAAAATTAAATAAAAATGCATATTTATTTAATGTGGTTAATTTATTAAATTTTTTTTTTAAGTTGGACTGTGCCTTTAAGATTTAGTTAAAAAACAAAGTTCAATGATGAAAACAATAAGGGCAGAGTGAATAAAACACTTCTGCACAAAGCCTAAGGAGCTGCATGTGCTGCAATCACTTCATTCTATCTGTGGGAACTGTACAGATTCTTTTCAGACTTGTGGTTGCTTAGTCAACAGAAATTTTGGTCTCGTCTGATAGTCAGGACCAGATTTCTATTACGTGCCTCCTAGGCCACTTTCCAATGACCAGAATTCACCCAATTGTGAATGCACAGTTCCAACAGCTTATATACAAGAGGATCTATATATAATTAAAAGTATCTTTATGCTACCAAATAAAGGAAAACGGTAAAGGCCCACTTTACTAGTACATTGATCTACTGTGAACTAACATGATTAGGTCAAATACAACATAAAAACAGTTATGTGCCCCTGGAAATGTTTTCAAACTATTGAGAACATCAGACATTTCCCTTCAGCTCCCACAAATTCCACCCAGACCACTACAAACAAACACATAGCTAGTTCTTACCGGCCAGGAAGAGAAGAAATCCAATGATTCTCAACAGGGAAAGAACTGGTGAACACAGAGCAACAAAGGAGATAATGAAGCACACGATAAGGATGATGAATCCAATAATCAGAAGTGCAGCTGTTGCTTTACCCCAGGCTGGAAAGAAAAGACACAAATTATTCATGCGTTATTGGTGGTAGAACGACAATATGTGAAGAAACACACTGTACTAATAAAAGTGACAAATGGATCTGTTATAGTTATTATCTAAAGTTTTTAGTTTCCTGAAAAAAACAGCAAGGTTGAGCAGGTGGTAGGTAACCGATAGGGAAAATTAACTGGCCCAACACCCCCCTTCTCCCCCACCGGTCTGTTGTGGGCCATGTATGGGTATACCTTGGATGTGAAAAGATTCAATCAAGCTTCATCAGTTTGAATCAGGTAGCACAAGAAAATATGTAGGCAACATTTTCCTGCAATATAAGCATACAGTGGCTTGCAAAAGTATTCACCCCATTAGCATTTTTCCTTGGTCATAAGGTTGGTTGTCTGTCGTTGTCTAGAAAAACCACGAGTTTCAACACCATCATTTCTCAGACATCCCAAATTATGGAAGTATCATAAACCGAATGAAATAGACCAAATGTTATTATATATGCATGTCCAATGCCTTATAATGTATGCACTGAAGCCATTTTGAATCTCAGATCCCATTTTGAGTGCATTTTTCTCTCTCGCGCACACCTATTTGCACCTGCTCTCGAGTGAGTATGAGTGAGGCCTAAACCTTTGTTTTTTATTTTGAGATATCTGGACGTAAACATGAAACTGCAGACAATACTTTAAACAGAATTGCATTCAGCTACATTATTTGTAGCAAATAAAACATGTTTACATGGTCAGGCCTGTAAAAGAACAGCCTAGTGGCAGCCCTAATTCCCAGATAACATATTCAGGTTATTTAAACTTTATGTCAAGTGCAGAAACTTAGACCAAGCACTTAGAAAGCATCTTTAACTAATCCTATTTCAGTAAACAAAATCTGATTGAATATTGTAGGTTTCAGCTCACATTCATTGTGGTGTTATTGAATAAGCCCACCTGATGCATCAAATACCCAACATCAACAGAATACAGCACAAATTATCATAGAATAATATTTTTTGTCACTAAACACATTAATAATGGGTCACAGTTTACAGCACGTACTTTACCAGTGCTACAACCACTGCAGAACTGAACTGAAATCTATCTACCTGTCATGATAACATTATAAAATCCAAACTAAAAGTGCAAATTAAAAAAAGAGAAACTGACATTCTTCTAATCCTGAGGTTTCTGAGCAAATCAAGGGATGATTTAATATCACCATCTACCTGGTGAAAAGGTGATTGGTCTACTTAGAAGATATTAATCGGATTGTTTTGGGGCTAGTTCACACCAGAACTGCATCACAACGGCGTGCGTCTGCGCAGCTGCAGTGTGATGTGTTTTGCTGCATGTGTACTGCGATTTTGACACTTTTTCTAGCTTAAAATGGGCTTTCAGGTGCAGTCCAGTGCGTACATGCTTTTTAATGCGTTCCATTGCGATCAGGTGCAGCTAAAATGCTGCACTGGTTTGAACAGAGCACCAGAAATCCCATTGGAAAGCATTGTGATACAATTTGGATGCAGCTGTCAAACTGAACAGATTGCATCACAAGTGCATCTGGTGTGAACTAACTCTTGTTCCTGATACTGTGCCTCCCACTCTTTCTGTACACCTAGCACTAAGTCATCAGTTTCAGTAGCCAATAACGAACAAAACCCAAGAACAAAAATGTAATATACTTTCAAGCTTTTTCTATTTGAACTTGGTGATACAGCCATAACACACTCTCTCGCAGAGGATGACAACTCTCACTTACTGCGCTGTATCTAAGGGCAGTGTTGTCATCATGGGACAAGAAGTGGGTTAGGACTGTTGAGCACCCACCTCTTCAGTATGGGACCCTGCCCCAAAGAAACCCCTGCACTTTTTTTGCACAACAACAAGTAACAGCAAATTGCCCAGATATTAACAGGCCCCACAGAATGCAATGGAAATCTTATTGTCAAGCATTGCTGTACTTCTGGAAATGCGCAACAAATCTTTGTCACGCCTAACAGACTTTTTTTCGGCACTTTTTGAAAAAAAAACCCCCAAAAAACAAAAAGCTTTCAGTTGTATGTTTGACATACCAAAAGGGAAGTAAATGAATAGTTGTTAGAGTGAATATAGACTTCAAAGGCACTTTACTGGAAAATAAGTGGATAGGCGGGTAGGGCTAAACTCAGAATTCAGGAAAAATCAACAGTAAAAAAAAAAAAGGGAAGCCAAAATCAGAGGCAAAAAGGGGAGGGTTTCCTGGCTGCGATTACAAAGCCAACACCACACCATGCATTATCTGTCCACTTTAAAGTGTTCGTAAACGACATTTAGAAATCAAACTCATACGGTAGTGCTGCAGACATTAGCACTTATCATTTTGCATGTCAGTTTTCCTTTCTAAGCATTAGGTTTGCTTTCATGTCCTTGTCTCCAAATGTCCCCTTTCTGGGTCCCGTTATCGGGGTCGCTCCGTCCCCTTACAGGGTGCCATCTTTGCATACGGGCTCCCGGCGCAGATTCTCTAGCGTGCATTCAAACATAGTCCTAGCCCCTCCCCTTTTCCTCTCCTTGCAGCGAGTGAGCAGATTGAGCATGCGCTTTGAGTAGTGCACTGTGCATGCAAAGGGCACAAGGTGTGCTCTTCCCTATGCAGAAAGCATAAAAACAATCTGCTGGTGGCTGTATGTTGCAGACTACGTGCGGGATGCACGAATGTGCATTGCGGTGCATGCACCAGAAACGTATGTTGTTGCATTGTTATTGGTCGCGCTGCAATGCACATGAGTCGGAAGGTGTGTTGGGGTGCCATTCAAAATGATGTCACCACATCGCACCAGCACACAGAAGGGTGATTGAGGGTGGATAATTGGAACGATTATCTGCAGCCAGTTGGTGTGTGGCCAAAAAAAGCCATCCCTGGACGCACACTGTCTGCATCCAGGGTCAGTCAGAGGCTATATTTGCATGAGCATTTATATGAGAACAGTGGCAATGCTGGCCAATGATTTGTATAGGATAAAATCTAACAGCCACTGCTGCTTTTTGCACCCACTATGTACATGCAGAACATAGTTCCGCTGCCCGCCCATGTGAACTTAACCTTTGTTACTGCATACAGATGGTGTAAATGGCTCTGAAAAATGAGTGTTTATGCCTAGGAAATAAAATAACAGAAATGTTGTGGGTTGAATGAATCCAGAATGCATCCCCAGTGTGGCATTTCTGAAGAGGATAAGATACTTCAGACTCAAAATGGCTACTTATGAATATCAAACTCTTTTATTGCTCGTTTTGGGTTACAAAAAACTGCATGCTGTCAAGAGAGGAGGTTTTTATTTTATCATGATTTACTGAACAGGTTTCTTCATGTCATGAGTATAAAACAGTGACAAGTATACCACTCCTTGTCCTTCAGCTAAACCAGTCAAACCTCCACCCAAATGTGTGGGTGTGGAAACCATAATATGTTTGTATGTGAATCATCATAATTGTTGTGCTGACATTGGCTTTTTCTGGCTTCACCATTTTAGTCACACAGTTTTCCCTTATTATCCCAAACCCTGATATGTAACATATTTGCTGGTCCTAAGATGTGGTGGCTGCATTCATTTCTTTTTTTTTAACACACACACACACACACACACACGCACACACACACACACCTCAATCTCCTTTTCTGCAGCCCCTGTTATAAATGAACAGGAATCCTTGGTTCTCAACTGGTGGGTCATGACCCAAAAGTGGGTCACAACCACGTGTTCAGTGGGTCGCCATGTGCCTTCCACTTTTCTAGGTGAGAGGCTCCTCAGCCTCCCCCTAGCGCAGCACTGTCAGTTCTCGAGCCATTCAAAATATGCTGCCTGGTGCCGAGTGTCAGCTTGAGGTGGGATGGGCTGGAGCTATGGCAGCTATGGCAGTGAGGGAGATCCATCCAAATGGCTCCCAGCACCTCTACAGGGCGCACAAGGGAGCTGTACCAGCATTGCGCTTATGGATGGAGCTCCGTCACAGCACAGCATCCCACACTGGAACCCAGGCTGAGGATCCACTCCAGTTCTTGTACGGTAGTGAGACTTGGTGGATCTTTTGAATGGCATCCCGAACGCACTTGCCACCCACAGTTCAATCGCCCGCACTAAAACCCGCGCTACCGGAATGCTGTGCGTTCTATTGCAGTGTGACTCGGGTCGCGACTTAATGACGGAGGACAAACGTGGGTCTTGAGGTTACACAGGTTGAGAACCACTGCTCTATACTGAATGTTCCTGTTTAGTCATAACATGAGGACAGAGTATGTTTACTATCACCACAATCATGAATGAACAGGAGGTGATGTAGATCACTTCCCATTCATAATTGAGGATATAGTAACCATACTCTGTCCTCAATTATGTACAAACACTCAGCGATCACTAATCACAGAGTGTTTGCACTCGCTCTCAATCCTGACAGCTGTCACAGGAGGTTGAGCGAGCGTTGCAGGGAGGAGAGATCAGACTCCTGTGACAGCGCAGGCTGTCTCCGCCCCCACACTGCTCTGCGGGACTGTGACAGGAGTCCTCTCACAGTTCTCGGCCGCCTGTGACACTTTCTCTCCTCACCGCTGGGACACAGGGCAGCGCCCAGCGGGGAGGAAAGAAAGCAGGGATGCGCCGAAGTATCGGCAGACAAATTGCACTTTTGGCATTTCGCCAAAAGTGCAATTTTCGGCCGATATGTTTTGGTGGCTGATATATCGGTGCATCCCTAATATATAGATAGAGAGAAAATTTGTCGTCACCCAAAAGGACTGGACTACAGAGATCTTCTCCTCTTCTCCATAACAGAGTGGAGGAGTTCTGTAGACATTATAGGTAACTGGGAAAAATGAAACTGATAATAGTGCAGTAGAGGGAGTATGCACAGGATATAAAAGAAAACACTTTCCATGGCATATTTAACAGAGGAAAAGGGATCAGACAAGGGTTCACATTTAGTAAAAGCCACTCAGAGATACTTCTGTCCAAAATAACATGAGTTCATTA